CACATTCACTTAACTTCTGAATGCCAACAGTAGGAAATTCCCGCTATAGAATCATAAAACTCTCTAATTGATTTTGCAAATTAGGTCTTTATTTCCATTATTTATACCTTACTCGTGGGGTCGTGTGGCGCAATCGGTAGCGCGTTCGGCTCACACCCCAGAGGTTGTGGGTTCGAACCCCACCTTGTGCACCGATCTTGTGCCCTTGGGAAAGGCACTTTACACGACTTTCCTCACTTCACTCAGGTGGAAATGAGTACCTAACTTCGGCTAGGGACGTCCCTCGGATAGGACGTTAAATGTCACCTCGTAAGGGGCGGTATAACCCCGACCAATACGGTCGACCGATGATGATGATGATTTATACCTGACGATGTTCATGCTCTAATTATCCGTAGTTATTAGAGAATAACCTAATTGCCTAATGAAAATTCTCTAATAGTTATTCTGTAATAACTACGTATAATTAGTAGATATCAATTTGTGCAAACGTACGTTTGTAGCTTTGACCATTATGAACATGTAAATCATATTCTTATTTCAGTTACTTGTACCAAAGTGCTATATTATAACTTTAAAGATAATTACATTTGGGGCAATAAAATGTGATGACGTCATCCATATGATCCAAACAATCATATTCATAACCCTTTTGTACCCAGCTATCAATATTCAGTACACCTACAGTTCGTTCTAAATTTCTTTGTGAGAAAACAATGGAAAGCTAAAACGCCAAATTAGCCAGGGAGGACACAACATTCAGCATGTCCAGGTGGATATGTGTATGTGGCTCTTAGTTGTTAAAAATGTACATGATCATTTATTCAGTCTACGTGCCACTCGTAATGTTCAGGCTTAGGTCCCTGCTGAACTCTTTGACATTGATGGCGTTTCTTATGTTCTCAAGTGGGCAAATTCGTCTTCCATTGCCTAAAAAGAAGATGTCAACCCCAGTAAAACTAGTATCATGTATGTTATATGTAAAACTAGTACCATATATGTAGAATATAGTAAATGCTAGACGTAGATATAGTCTCACATACCACTGTATTTTCTTTCTCATGTAGTTTGTAAGTGCAATTAGACTTCGGGCATGTATTTGCAATTAATTTTCTATGTTTTCTTTGTACAACGCCAGCACCAGAGGCGCCGGGCTGCGGTCCGCCCCCAACCCTCGATTGTGCCTCTGCGACCTGCTCCGGCTCCGGACTAGGGGATGTCTGCACCTACGTGTGCGATGATGAATGTTACGGATCCCCCACAACCATAACTTGTCTGAATGGACGTTGGAGCGGTTCTCTCGGGGCCGGATGCGAGATAGGCCTAACTATAGGTACGTGAAACGATTTTTTTGACCGAATACGCACAATAGGGCTTATTCACCACAGATTGTCACGTGACTCTTCCCCCCGGCAGCGAGCATTGTCCGCCATTTTGGGGTGCAGCATGGTGCCTATCGCTATGGTACGCTATGCAAACTCTTGGCGATAGTTGCGTAGTTTGGGCCACAATCTACGTTTTGAACACTCTTCTTGTTAGTAACATTGTCCTTGGGGTTGTTCTGGCTCAATGTCCACGTCTCATGTTCTCAAGATCGGCTTTTATCTTTTTTTTACTGATCAGAAATCGGTGTTTTATTTTTAACTTTTACCCTGGCGTAGGGGGCTGTAGATGTCAACGTGAGTAGCCATGTAAATCTGTCCGGTAAATCTGTCGGATCTACCTGTCCCTTTACTCTGTGGTAAATGTCCATGTAGAACAGGGCGCTGGCAACTTGTAACACTCACCTTGTCCAGCCACAGTCGCGGCAGTGCGGACTGTGGATGGCGGCCGGCGGCCGATGGCCCCCGCAGCCTTTGCTTGTTATTATTATAATATGTTAAGATCATATAGACTGTTCAAAACAACATATAATGAGGAAAAATATCTAAGTAACGAAAATATGAGGGTGAGAAATGCTGTCACAAGACTTAGAATAAGCTGCCACAGATTACATATTGAAATCGGAAGACATTCCCGCACTCCCCTTGAACATAGATTATGTAAATATTGTAACTTGAACAAATTAGAAGACGAACGCCATTTTGTAACAGAATGTGAACTGTATAGCAAAGAGAGAAATGAACTGTATACATTTGTACAACACTTATTCCCCTATTTCACGCACTTAAGTAGTGTAGAAAAATTCATATTCCTTATGCGACTAGACAAGCCACCCATCGAAAAACAGATCTGTACGTTTATTACTGCAATAACAGAAAAGAGAGGAGAAGTTGAATTTATATAACGATAGTTAATTTTGTATTTGTTAACCGTGTTCATTCTTATTGTTTTGTTGTGACCTGTACTTGGCCAAGTGTGGCAGAAATGTGCAATAAAGGTCTTCATTCATTATCCAGACACAGTCCGGGGCTGTTCCAAAATAGCGACCTTTTGCGTATCCCGACTACAACGTACTTAATTGTCACTACGCAACTGCCCCACAACACTTTCTACACATCCTGATACAACGCTTCCAGACTCTTAAAGTGTTTGAATCGATCCTGTGTGTAAAAACTTCTGACCCGTGAGTACCAAATACGAAGCTAAGTCGCGTCAATGGACTCCGCTAGCGGTAGACGCCGTCTCGATCCGACTGATCAAAACTCAACAGAAACGGGTCAATCCCAACAGATTTTATTTTGCTCCAGTAACGAGGGGTATGAGTGGTGGTAAACTCTTCGTGTAATAGGACAAAGGACAGTTTACCTAACGTTTGTCGGCCATTTCAACGCTTGGAAACTCGCTGTAGAGGTGGACCCCAAAATGGCGTCGCACGGGACATGAGGGGTGGTGACGTCATGATGACGTGGGGTGAATAAGCTCTATATACTGCGGTGACTATAGATAGTCGATATTCCTTTTCTTTTTTCAATTTCCATGACATTTTGATTTTGTATGGCAAAAAAGGTACAGGACCCATTGATTATTGATTAGGCTACGGTCATTTGGTTTCAACAGTGTTATAAGTGACATGCATGTACTCTCTCAAAGATCCATTAATCTATATGTATTGTAGCAAGGTAAACATGAAAAATTTCCCTATACCTACCAAACATTGCAACTTTCCGCAACCGGTTCTTTAAGATATCCTCCTTCAAAGATTTGAAAAAAAGACGCCCCTGCAGCTCCAGAAGCTGCTTCCACTGGAACGGTAGTCATCTACTAACAGACTTCAACCTCTAAATTTTTCTTAGATAATGACCACAAAATTGCTGACTAAGGCAAACGTAGAAAGTTACGGTTGAGTCTCTAGTACGACGGCAAAATAACATATACCTTATTTGAACCAATGGAGTATATTTGATAACCAAAGTTTTCATTTGACACCGTTTTGTTAAAACACACTGGGCACCATTTTGTCGAAGCACATTGTATCAGTATCATCTCTGTTTCTCCTAGGATGTCCTGAAATACCTGCGCTACTTAAAGGTAAGCTACAGTCTTTGTATCATGCACTTTGAAGAATCTTTGGAGACCTTTCCAACGAGAACTTTGCATTATCACTAGGTTAAACATTATCAGGTTTTACCCTTATTACCTTCGCCAAGAAGGTTATGTTTTAGTAGTGTTTGTCTGTTTGTCTGTCTGTCTGTCTATCTGTCTATGAAGAACATATCTCCAGAGACTTTATATGCATTGTCATGAAATTTGTAAATACGTAAGCTTTGATGAATCTCAAAATCAATTAGATTTTAGGCCCCCTGCATGCTTTTCTTGGTACTGCAACAGAACTTCCTGTTTTGATATGATCTGAACATGCTAGGGTCACGAATTTTGGATGGTTGATAGCTCTTGTGCTTGGAAGGAAGGAAAGAAGTGAGTTTTGGCCTCCTAGCAGCTTGTGGGAAATGTGGGAAATGGTAACATCGTACTAGTATGGGCTAGGCAAGACATCAACAAAACAGCTTTCAAGCATCAAACACTGCATCCCTCAAAGTACCTGCAAGTCATACCTTTGATCAATGGAACAGTAAGTTGAAAGCTGCACTGTGATTTTTTACTGGTCTTTATACAGAGGCATCGTATTCCAACTGCAGAGCCTTGTCTTTCCTTAGATTTTGATTACGAAGCTGCAAGATTTGCGATCACCGGCTCACGACTGGACACTGCCGTAACTGAGGAGGTCGGGATGGAATCTCTCCTGACCGACCTGGCCGCGTACGCAGAGTATGACGGCACCCCACTCGCCGATCTGCCGGATACGGATAACATCATCATCATGCCTGAACGATGGGCTCTAACCTACACCAACAACGGCGTCACTACGGGAATGTTCCTGCCAGAAACCAGGAACTTCGACCCAGATGTTGGGTTACCAGGTATGGCCCGTATCAACATCTTTGACCCTGATGATGTTGGATAAAACACGTACGGTCTGCAATGTCGAGAGGGTAGCACTAATAGCCAGAGACCAGGAACTTTGCCCCAGAAGTTGGGTTTATCTATGACGATTTACCACATTTGTGGAAGGATTGACATAACAGGTGACTATCACCTTTTCAAAGATGTCAAACCTGAGACCGGACTGTAATGTTTGAACCACTCACACCGGGAAGGTCCCATACTCTTTTCGATAAGTGTGGTGGGTTCTT